TCTCTTCCGCGGAGCAGGCATACGAGGCTGCGCGTCAGTACCAGAGGATGTGCAGTCGCTTCTTCGTCGCCCCATCCTCTTCGCGGCCAGCCGCCACCTCCCAGTCTCGGGGTACCACCCGAGGCCGCTCCTCGTTTGCTGGTCGTTTTCGTCGCCCGGCTCGACCTGGAGCGCCATTCTCTCGGCACTACAGTTCTCTCGAGTATGGAGAGGACGCCTCAGCCGAGCTCGATCCTACCATTGGCGACGCCCCCGAGGACATCGAGCTTCGGGACGTCATCAAGTACCACTTGGATGACGACACTGTCCCAATGGCCGAGCGCCTGCAGATGGCCATGTCTGCCATGGGTCGTGCWCGTAGTCAGGTTGCACAGGCTGGCGTCCGCACACCTACGGTTCCTCAGATAGACCTCCCGCAGGGTTATTTCCCTCCTCGCGGAGCTCTATCCCCTGAAGAGCGTGCCGCCCTCGAGGCCCGGCGCGGCTGCCTTCGTTGCCGCCTAGGTGGACACACCTCCTCACGGTGTCCATACCAGACCGCCCTCGATCGGCACTACGCTGACATCTCTCGTCAGCGTCGATCTCAGTCCCCCCCCGGCCCCGCCCGACCAGCCCCATCCACCTAGCCACGGTGCACCGTGCCCCTGAGGCCTCGCACGTAGCTGGCTTTCCCACCACCGAGTCGCGGTTTGCCCCTTTGCCTACCCCACCAGAGGACCCTCAAGACACGACAGACGCAGTTTTCTCCGCCCCATCGTATGTCGAGGTACCGTCTGCCTCCCAGCAGACCGCCGCATCTAGCACTTCTCCCCCGAGACTTCCGACGCGTCGCGCCATTCGCAGAGCCCGTTGTAGCGCTAAGCTGGCGACTCGCGATGACGTTGTGTCATCTCTCCTGGACTTGAGCATTTTGCAGGCTCGTCAGGAGCGACTCACGAGACACGTCAACGTCCTGCGTCGTCTTCTCGCTCTGCTTTCTGACCCTGATCGCACCCTACCCATTATCCCTATTCGCCTAGGGACATCTACAAGGGTGTACCGCGCTTTATGGGACTCTGGCTCGCAGGGAGATTTCGTTCACCCTCGAGTGGTTGAGGAAGCTCGCCTCGCTACCTCTGGGTCCCGCTCTCTATCTACGTTACCCTCGGAGATAACAAGACACAGCGCTTCTTCGATCAGACGGTCCCCGACCTCCACTTCTCCCTCACCCTCCAGCCACCGGATAGTACCCAGGCGCCTCGGCGCTTCCATTCCTCCGCGTACTTCGATGTGTTGGAGACTGGGTACGACTTTATCCTTGGCACTCCCTGGTCTCGCCAGTTCCGTAGCACAGAGGCCGAATGGGCGACCGAGACACTCGTTCTCAAAACGAAGTGTGGTCAGACCCATCGCGTCCCCTTCATTGGAACCACGGGTGACACTCGTCCCGACCTACCTCCCCGGGACCCTCGTCCCTCAGGGTCTCATCCCGACATTGCCTTCACCTCCCCTCGTCAGTTTGCTCACTTCATACGACAGGAGGACGTCACGTTCTACTCAGTGAACGTCGTGGATCTTCTTCGCTACGATCCACTCTGTCCCGAGGTTGAGCTCATCTCTTTGGAGCCCGATCCCCTTGACCCTCCTTCCATCTTCGCGGCTCCTATCTCTACATCCACTCGTCAACCTGCGGATACCCCCTCCACGTCTCAGGCCCCTGCGCCGTCGACTGTCGAGTCCACACATACGTCTCGTGCCGACGCAAACGCTGAGGAACTCACACGGTTCACGGCAGACTTACAGACCGACGTGCGCGACCTGATTCGAGAGTACCGCTACGTCTTTCCCCCGTACTTCTCATACAGCGGGATTCCCCCGATGCGCGGTGTTGAGCATTCTATCCAGCTCGTGCCTGACTATCGTGTYCACCATCAGGCACCGTACCGACTCTCGATTCCAGAGGCGACGRAACTCAAGCGTCAACTTGAGGAGCTCCTTCGACTGGGTTTCATTAAACCCAGTAAGTCCCCTTGGGTTGCACCTGTCCTCTTTGCTCGCAAAGCGGACGGAACGCTTCGCCTCTGCATCGACTACGGCGGCCTTAACCGTTACACGGTTAAGAACAACTATCCCATGCCTCGCGCGGATGAGTTGTTTGATCGTCTGGCAGGCAACCGCTTCTTCACGAAGATCGATCTTCGTAGCGGTTACCACCAGATCCGCGTTGCCACAGAGGACCAGCCGAAGACCGCCTTTCGGTCGCGCTTCGGCCACTACGAGTTCACGGTGATGCCATTCGGCCTCACCAATGCCCCCGCCACCTTCCAGACGGCGATAAACGACATCTTCAGGGACATCCTTGAAGAATACGTTCTCGTATACCTGGACGACATCTTGGTCTACAGTCGTACCTTAGAAGACCATCTCAGACACCTACGCGATGTCCTACAATGCTTACGCAAGCATGGCTTCTATGCCAAGCTCAGTAAGTGCCGCTTTGCCCAGCGCAAAGTGGACTTCCTAGGACACCATGTGTTTGACCAGGGTCTCCACATGGACGACGCAAAGATCACTGCCATTGCAGAGTGGCGCGTCCCCACATCTTCCAAGCAGCTTCGCAGTTTCCTAGGCCTCACCAGCTACTATAGTTATTTTACCCAGGAATACGCTAGGTATTCCTACGTCCTTACCTCTACCCTCCTCCGGAAGAACCTGCCGTGGTTTTGGACACCCCTGTGCGAGGACGCCTTTCGCGCCCTCAAGAAGGCGGTGACTTGTGCACTGGTTCTTCGCCTCCCTGATTTTGATCGTCCCTTTATCGTCACCACCGATGCGTCAGATTTTGCAGTAGGAGCAGTCCTCTCTCAGGTGTTTCCCTCTCCTCCGGATTCATCTTATCCTCATGTTCCTCCTTTTCCCCCCCCTCCTGCTGACACTGCTTCTCGACTGACGCCTACCCTCCCACCACTTCCCTCCACTGATAGTCCTCTTGTTACTTACTCCCCGACCATCGCGGAGGATGGGACTGTCGAGGCTCGTGCTGGGGATTGCCCGATCGCTTTCTACTCCCGTCAGCTACTGCCTGCCGAGATAAACTACACTGCCGATGAACGTGAGGTTCTCGGAGTAGTTTATGCTACCCGGCATTGGCGTCATTATCTGCACGGGGCGCCCTTCACGGTGCGCACGGACAACTCAGTTGTCCAGGCTTTCCTCACGAAGCCTAAGCTTTCCCCTCGACAGGCACGCTGGTGGCGTGACTTATCCGAGTTCAGTTTCACCACTCAGCCCATCAAGGGTGAAACGAACTGCGTCGCCGATGCCTTGTCCCGCCGTCCTGATCACAATCAGGAACTCATCCATCTTGCTGCCATCTCCATCACCATCTTGCTGCCATCTCCATCACCACTGTTGATCAGTCGGTGATCGACGCGTATCGCACTCAGTACCGCCACTGCCCCGATTATCGCGTCATCCACGCGACACTGCGGAGTGGCAAGACCGTCCCTTCCTACTCCCTCGGGGAGAACGGCCTTGTGTACTGGCATGGCAGATCTTGTCAGCTAGAACCACGTATCTGCGTTCCCTCCACTGGACAGCTCCGCGTCCAGGCCGTAGCAGAGTTCCATGACCAGGCAGCTCCCGGTCATATGGGTTTCCACAAGACGTTGGCTCGTGTTTGCCGCCTATACGTCTGGCCGAAGTCCAAGGACTTTGTCAAAGCCTACATCCAGGAGTGTCCTACCTGCCGGGAGGTGAACAGTGCGAACCACCTTCCGTATGGGTTACTTCAGCCCCTACCCATACCTGAGGGTCGTTGGCA